AATTTCTCTTTACTTTGTTTGAATACTCGTGAATAAGAGAATTCAGCAGCTCCCCAATGAAGCGAACATGATGTTCATGGTGACATGTGTTCCTGCGAGATAGGAATCAATCCCTTCAAATTGCTAAACCAACTTTGAGCCCTCTTGAAAGGCAATGGTTCTTAGGTGGACACTTCACAAAGAGCTTCTGCAACTTGAGCTTCCTAATTAATCTCAAAAGAGGTGGGCTCAGTTCGGCTAGAAGGGGCTGATCGGTACTCAGGGTGAAATCCGGTGACCAAACTGGCTCAGTTGCACCATTTCGCAGGTTCAGAAGAATTCGCAACTTTGACCAAAGTGGGATCTTTCCTGTTCTTCAGCGTGAACTAACAAAAGGAGCCAGGGGATGTGCGAAGGCCCCACCCAGAGCCGAACAGCGCTTGAAAAGGATCTTCTTATCAGCTTAGCACTCCAGCTGAACGGCTTAAAAAATAACAGGCGCGAACCCTCAGAAAAATTATGCACACTCTCTTAGAAAACAAGGAGATCTCCTCCAAGCCTAACAGGAGTTACGAGCAAAATATTTCACCATTGATGCAAAATTTAAACACCATTATGTATGTACTCAGGGACCTACCGAATTTCTTCTGCGTCCCCATGCAGCGACACCTCAAGCGAAAGGCCACTTTTATAGACGAGGTATGTTTTGACGTTTGAAAGCGCGTAATAACAGTCTGGAAACTGAGATTACGAATTTTTCGAAGGTTAAGGCACTATTCACCTTTTACTGCCTCAGTCTGTGTGTGTAGTGCGGTGAAAGGCACATACAGCCAGATCTAACAGTACTGGGGGCACTGCTCGTTCCTATACCTGCCAGTGTTTCCAGAAGTCACTGAAATCAATCTGAAGACCACTAGGTTCGATAAACCAATAAATGGACATCTGACAGCACTCCCTCAATGATGCGGTTAGTCACCGGTCTTATAGCATTTCCTTTTCCTTACCTACAATTTGGGGCAGGTCGGCAACGGGGGGAAGTGAGGGGCTTTAGCACTTCTGCTCCACGGTGGCTAAAACGAACCTGCCAAGATTTACAAGAGTTCACGGCTTTCACCAGAGTGAGACTTGGAAACCGGAACTAGTGAAGCACCGAAGGTTCGAAACGCCCCCCTCCTGCGTCGCCGAACAGCGCCTACAATTTCAATATTTTGGCGAAGATATACTTGCAGTAATGTTTCCAATAACAGGGAGGAATAGCTATGAAGGCAGACCACCCTGCCTTCATAGCTATTGCCACCCTAATTTCCACAAGGACTTCTTTCTTTGGCAGAAAATTGTATGCGGACAACGCCTTTGTCATTGTTTATCAGGGCCGACGAACCTACCACCCAACCGGGCTGACCCCTAGACTGATTGATGTTCTGCTGCTGAACAGGAACGGTTCTTTCTTGTCGGGGCCAATCGCTTTTCTCATCGTTTTGACTTTTTGCTATTTTATTATCAATCAATTTAGCACATTATCAATCGTTTCGCGGTGCTGATTTCCATGAATAATTGATGAGCCGATGAGATGATAAAATGATTATCAAAGACAATCGGAAGGACAAGAAAAGATCCCACGTAGACGTTAAAAAAGCTTCAGGCAACTGGTTTTCAGGATGGTTAGAAAAATTTTTCCTTTGCAGTGGATTTCGGTGATGCTAGAGAAAAACGATAAATCAATGAGTGGTTCCCTGCGCGTGAACCTCAATCGACTTCGAACCTAATGTTAAATTTTTGACTTCCCCCCAATTATTGGTTTTTTCCCCACTAATGCTTATTTCTTGTTGGGAAGCTGCTGAATTGAACAGAAGGTCGAATGGTCAAAATTCAAGTCCTTTCGTAGCGGGTGCAGATGGGAAGTACCTGTGAACAGCGAAGTCTCCTCCTTCCTCTCTTCTTTCTTCCTTTCCTTTTATTTTCCTTTCTCCTCTTCCCCTTCCTTATTTACCACACTTCATTTCGCCGGCCGGTGAGAGAATACCTCTTGAACCCTCCCAAGCGATAGAATGTCGCTCGAAAGAAGCCCTTTGTACAGGAGAAATCGAATTACTACAATTTGGAATAGAAATCGTTTAATGCACGGACACCCGCTGAAATAGACTTAATACCACATCGACAGGCTTTTTCGACTTTCCAGCCAAGACACACCACCACTTTGCGGAATATTATTGCGAAATACCCCCTAAATGTTACTCCTATCACATGCCCTCCCCCTTCACCCCATCATACATACCTGCCACCTCTTCGACCCCTCCGAAAATTCGGCAGTTTAGGGGGAGCGGGGAAGGGTTAGGACAGGGCACGTCGCACTTGAGGGATCACCAGTGATGGGGTCATAATTGGTTGCTGGAGGGATCGGGAAGGATCGTAGTGCTTACACGGAAAAATTTTCAGCTGTTGACATTTTTCCCGTTTTTCCCCTTTCATGTGTGATTTGCCCCCTCTGCCTCGTTCCACGACACTTTTTTTGGAGAAAAAGAACAGAATTTTGAGAGAAAAAAGTCGGTAAGTGGTAGAGAGTTGGGGAAATTCAGGAACATGGTAGGTAGGACGACGCACAGGTAAGGTAAGGGTTGCACCAGAGGAAGGAATTTCAAGGGTGGTCCTATTTTGCAAATTTTTTTCCAACAGCCGGGCGTGTCTTGAGGTAGGGCGTAACCTCGATCAACAATCGGGAAGCACTTCCACGGCGTTGAAAAATTAAAGAAATTAGTCAACCGCAAACTACGACCCCTCTTTCATTGCAGACAAATACGACCTCCCCCCTCCCTTCGTGTTTCTCACAGCGCAAGGAGAGCCCAGCAAACGTCGACTTCTCTTGGTGTTGGCCTGATTTCGGCCTTAAAAACTGATGTCGATATCAAAACTCTCAAATCAATGCCTTATCTTTATTCAGTCATAATTCCTACATATCTGTACACTTGAAGAGAAGTCGTGTTGAGCTCTGTGAAAAAAAGCGGGAAAAATCCAAAAACGGGCTAAAATGGCACTCAGTGGCACATTCCCGTCCTTCAAAAGCGCGCTGTGTATAGTATATATGGCCCAAAAATGATAGCCGTAATCGAAGACGACAAGAAAACGCGCGCGGCACGGCGAAGCGGAGTGATCTGGTTGACGCGCTGGCGGTCGCTACTGAAAGGGTTACGGTAGCTGTGGGTGATCAGCCCGGTTTTCGTTCTTATCACAGGCTACAGTATATCTATAAGGAAACCAGAAACCACCTCGTCATCGCGCCCCGGACCGTTGTCAAACGCGACCAGATTCCGAGAAACGAGAGCGCACCAGAGAGGAGGGGCAACGCCACGTCACGTCACTGGTGGTTAGACACCAGACAACGAGAACGAATAAAAAAAGCATACGAGACGCAGACGTACAGAGAGCGGCGAAGCACAAAGACGCAGAAGAGCAGAGCAAAAAACCCGTGGCGCAATGAGCTTAATTGGTGATCTAGTGACACCGTGAAGAGATAGAGAAAGAGCAGTCAAAAAAACATACAAAATAATTTTACATATAGATATAATGATATATAATTATGTGAAGATGACATCAACAATGGCAGAAAAATTTGGACTACAGCAGTGAGAGTTTGACGTCATCTGATGACGGTGGAGAGTTGTCCCATGGTGCAACACTTCGGGCAAGGAAGGCCTTCTCTTTTTCTCGCTTTTTCTCCTTCATACGTCGATTTTGAAACCAAATTTTCACCTGAAAATGGGACATATCAACAGCTTTCGGGAGAAGGATGAGTTAGGGCGATTTCACCCCTACCTGCGCTTCATTTAGCTTCAGATTCTGTGCAATTTCCGTTCGCCGTGCCCGATTCACGTATTTAGCCGTGTGGAATTCCTTTTCGAGTTCGGTAAGTTGATGAGTGCTGAAGTTGGTTCGATTCGTGCCATTCTCGTCCACCACCTTACGTTTTGGTGCTGAAAAAAAACGATCGATCAACGCCCTCAGCCAAGGTCGAAACGGGTTTCTTCGGGAAATGTGTGTAAAGGGGACACAGGGGGTGCGAATCGACACGACGGTTACCGTATACATACCGATGGCCTCGGAACTTTGATGGTCACAGCCATAGGGTGGGGGTGGTGGAGGAAGTGATGGCTGAGAGGGAACGAGTGAGAGCACAACGCGCTCTCGTTGATTGACACCAGGGGGCCCCGAAGCGCCACCCGATTATCACATGACACCCCTCACATAAACTTTGGCTAATCAATAGCGCAGGGATGTGCAGGACTTCACAGTGGAGCTTCGCAGCCCGTTAGCCTTCCCTGACAGCGATATGGTTAACTGGTAGAAGGCCCTTGGCGGACTGTCAAAGAGGGCTAGGTCTGGGAGAAGATTCATATATTCAAATGACCGTAAGATTCGATGGGAGAAGCGGGAACAGTATGAATTTCTCCTGGCATGTCATGCGCAGAGAAGATGGATGATAATGGACCAGTCGTGGGCCTATTACGACCACTATCAGATTTTTCAACTAGGCGAGCTCCGAACGCGCTTTATATTCCATTTTCAGTGGTTCTAGCATGACGAGCATCTCTTCCATGTTCTTCGCCTTTCCCTTTCTCAGCCACAACCCACTCTAATCATACATACACTCATAGTGATATTTCTCTGTAATTGAAGGGCGATCCTCGTTGCGAAACAACACAAACGACAGCGCCCAAAATTTGCAAATTCCAGTGGCAGTTCCGACGTTGGTGAAGGGCATCTGAATCCTGTACAGGCCACCTGTGAAGAACCATCGAGCTTCCTGCTGACTCACGATGGGTGCGCAGCCCTTTACAGGAGGCTTACAGTTGTTGATATGCATTAAATTGCTGTTAAATAAAATAAACGAACAAAACGAAGCAAGCGGATACAGCAAATGTCGCTTTAAGCCTAACAGAGTCAAATTCAGAACGTTCCATATTTCCCAGCTCTACTGTTGCGCCTGCGAGTCAGATACAAAATGGTATAACAAGAGGGAATGACTCGAGGGTTTTTATATTTCTATCCTTCTCAAAGTATTTGGCTCCTGACTGAGGTCGCGCTCTGCCCAAAATTTCCAGCAATTTCGAAACTTTATTCGCAGGCAGACATCAAGAGATTGTTTTAGACTTATCCCAAAACTACCTGGGCAGTACTGCTGACGATTCAGCGCTCGGCTGCTAATCTGGAATTCAACCCACACACCGACACCAAATCAAAATTTTATTGCATTCTTTTGCTTGTTGCTTTTTTTTTGTTCTGTTTCATGCTATACAGCCAACACCACCAACTTCCTCAATTTTCCTTGAAGAACTTTCCATCTTATAGGCGAAACACGAAACATGGAGACGCCACTACCCTTCCGGTTTTTCAGATCATCTGATGGTATCTTTTGAGACCTTCGTTATGAGTGTTCCATTTTATTGCTCTCGCAACTTTCGGTAAATCTCCCACAAAAAAACCCACCTGTTCTCTTCACACCATAACTTCTATCATATGCCAACCGGACCGACCACCAAAAACTCCAAGGGACGAAAAAAACTTGTGATAAAACTTGCAAATCCCACCTTTGAGAAAACTATGCCTCTGCTAGATGTAAAGCAGTATTGAAGAATCATTTGGAAAAAAAAGCGATGCGGAAATGGACTTTGAGTTCAATTTTTTTGAAAAATTTAACGATTATAGATGCTTGTTATTTGAAAATGGTTATTAAGGTTTTTCTGACGTCCCAAGCAAATAGTCGTTTTAGGGGGTCTGAAGTGGCTCGAAAAACTTTCTGTAGCCTGAACCAGAGACCCCATTGCTTCAGGTTGGCTTGCTTCAGGTTTATATAACTTCGGACACGTAAGAAGGTGTTACATCTCCCAAGAAAAAAGCCAACCTTCAATAGTTGCACTAGCAAAAGCCCTGCAGAAAGTTGAGGGGAATTGAACCAAGTGCTGTCACAAAGGTGCTGAGTTATCGGATGGAGAACGTCTCTACGCAGCACTCGCCACCCAAGACGGCTCCGAACTGCTACAGATATGGAAATAAGTGGGCGGTATTGGTGAAGAGCGTATAACGGCGTATGCCAAAATTGGCCTGCAGAGGATTCGACAGCGTCTCACCAAATTAGAGCACATGTCGTTCCACAGGAGCTGTAGCATAACCTATCTACACACCCTGCCCCCTCCTCGCTGTCTGTTTGGCCTGGCTCACGATTTAGCTGAGAGCCGTACCTTCGAAAAAGAATTTGTTGAGCTCCAGTTCCGGGGACTAGCAACCATGTGGGTTTCAAAGTACTTTTTTCAACCACAACCTGTAACTTGCTTTGCTGATGTGTACGTTTATCGAGGGGCACGTTCGAAATAGGGAAGCAGTTTTTGTACGCTTCATCGTTATTCGCTTGAAAATAAGACAAATTGACTCGCATGAAGTTTTCGCGGAATAAAGTTTTGACTCTGACACAATTTATCATCTCACAACCCTCGAACCTCAGGAACCGTGAAATTTTGAAAAAAAGCGCCTTGTCGGGCAAATAAGCGAGTTTTGAGTTAGCTATGGACATGCCAGGTAGGACTTTGCCCATTGTTTCTCCGAACCCTGGAGTCAGTTTCATGTTATTTTCGGACTTTCGAACCTGAGCCAGGCCCTTCGCTTAAGCACTGGAAGGCGAGTTTGAAAAAGAAAAAAAAATGAAAGGAAGCATATGTAGGGGGCATATGACTTCAGGCCTGAAAACGATCCGCAAGTTTGAACTCGGACTCGACAAAAGTTATGTTAACTTTGACTATTGAGAGTATTGAATTGTGGTGAAATCCTTAGTTACGTAATCCATGGGCTGCTAACCTATGTTCATTGTTTAAAATCTATTTTTTACCGGTCCGTCATCCGGGCCAATGGTCAGTATAGATAAACCAGCAAAGTCAAATTTTAGCCGCGACTTGGATTCAGATTTTCGGACCGCCCAAGACGTCATTATCAATCGTAATCCTTTAGAAAATGATTGCCGCTTTGCGCCTTCACGTTTTGACGGACGTCGCCTGAGACGATCCCCCAACAGGCCGCCAAGACCCCCGGGGTCTGCTCACCTCAACCAGGCCGCCAAGACCCCGGGCTACATCCTTAATCTGTGACAGGGTACGGCGAGGGGATGGGGGAATACCCCAGGGTTAAACGCGGCATGGTTCCTCAGTGAGAAAAGTGGAACGTGTCAGATCAAAAGGCTTTTACCGAAACACTTGTGGCGAATCAGAAGGATTCCCAAATCAGAACTCCTCCATGGTAGCCAGAGGAGAAGGGACGCCGGGGAACAAAGGGTTTTATGTCAAAATTACATGAAAATCTGAAGAAAATCACAAAACTAGGTACAAAAACGGCAAATAGCCAAAATCTCCAAATAAGAACGTACCAGCCGGTTTATGTGACCTTTTCGTGTGCATCCATTTGTACGTATTTGTCACATTGGCTTGTTGGTGTGGAAATGGAACGGTTGCTGTCGTCCAAATGTCACTTGTAGACGCTGGAGGAACAGCGCCATACACATGTGAACCAGTCGATGTGGGCGGATTTATGTTCCTGAACGGGGGGTTGATGATTTATGGGTTGTTTTTCAAAGGGCATTAAAATCGTTCTGCTGGGTGGCATTGCTAGTGTGTGGGTACTGTAAAGTCGCTAACGGCTTTTGGCACCAGTTTTCGCTGGTAAATGACCTTAACGGGATAAGAAGCTGTGTAGGGACATTTGGGGGCCCAGAAGGCTTTAAGGGACCTCGAAGGTCATTGAAAAGAAAAATAACGGTGTGCTAAGAATCTAAGTTCTAAGAGACCAAGTGTAATGAAAGAAAAATAATTTGGACTAATTTTTGACCTACCGTGGTGGATCGCATCGTGGACCATACGGAGCATAGGTGGCTTGGGGTGGCCAGTCGTAATACGGTGCGTAGGACTCCGCGCAGCTCATCTCCCGTAAATCAGCTGCCGCGGTGGCGGTAATAAATCACACTGCTCAAGCGTCGCGTCCGACAAGACGAAGGCCGACGCCACTCGGCCACTCCTTCGTAAGGCGTGGCCAACCAATCAGCACTGAGCAAATGGGCGTCGCCAACGAATCGCCCTCAAAACTGACAGCCTGTCGCTACCGTAGTCGTCGGGTTGGCTGGCGTCGCTACTCTGCAATGACTGCGCGATATTTAACGCTCGACGTAGAAGTGATGAATAGGAAGTGCAGAAATTAGCCGTGCAATCATTACATTTGATGGAAGACGACATTAAACGAGAAGGGACGCGATAAAAGGAATGGACGACGGCTTCGGATCAAAATCAAATGTGACAGCGGTAGGGCAAGAGAGGACGGTGAAGTTTTCTTTTGGGGTTGGGGCAAGAAACTGCAATGGTGGATGATTCTTCCAATAGTTTGAGACAATATGGAGCGAATTCTCAGCGAAAGTTAGAAAAGAAACTATGGACTACTTGGCTTCCACATGATTCTTTCAAACGTAGAAGCAGTCCTTGGGAGAAGGCCCTTTCATTCTCATCCTCAGGATGTCGCCAGCTTTTTGGGCGTCGCAAAAGATGCAAAGAGGGACTTCATGTCTCCACACTTAGATGAAGTTGGGTTCCAGGCTTCATCAATGGACGCCAGCATTTTCTGGGCTCCCCCATCCCCTGCAGACCCGCATTTCCAACGGAAAAAAGTGGGAAAAATAAGAGTGGTCGGGAAATTTCACATTACAATTCCTGGACGAAAAAAGACCCGAAAAGCTTCGCACAGTAGACTGAATCCGTTCTCAGCTTCCAGCCCGACAACAATGACGTCTCCAAATCCGATAAGATATGGAGCGAAGCGCGCATCGTTGTCGTAACTGGAACTGGCTGTATAACCATTAATGTATGTCGAACGTCTGACTACGCCAACAGGGCAGTCAGATCCGCCTAGAGGTCTGGAAACCCCGTGGGAGATGAAGGACGCGCGTGTTGCACTGGTCTCATGTTCTGCCTTCATGGAGAGTGGTGATAGCTTGGAGGTTTCCAGCTTTTCTGGGATTCCTTGGAAATGTCGCGAACACCTCTATAAAAACTCGAAAAAACCTGGTTTTTTTTCTCATCAGCTGATTACTCTCTTAGAGGAAACAGAGGAGCAGCTGTACGGGTCTTAAGGGGGAAAATGCCCCGAATGGTGTTTACCATGCTTTCACCATTTGGGGGGAGGGGGGTTCAACAGTTTGGTTTTGATTTGAGGGGAATTAAGCAGAAGATCGATTCAATTGGGGAGTCAGCGAGCGCTTTTATTTGAGGTAGAACCCTGACGGGGTAATATTTAGGTTTGGCTGCCAGCTACGTTTAGCAAGGTTACTGCAGCTCATGGAACCTTATGGTAGATACCATTTCAATGAATGATTTCCCGGTAGAAGAGTTACTAATCATGGCAGCACAGTGTAGTAACTTTCAGCTCAATGGACCT